CCTGCAATTTGTTTTTTATGCTTTAAAAATTACTGAAATCAGTTAGATTATAAAAATAGCAGCAGATTTTCTTTTGTCAATCAACTAACTACTTGTTTAACACATTATTCTATATCATCCTTTAGCACAACACCTGTAAAGAGTTTATCAATGTCAGCTGAACTGCAAAGAGGATTGTCACTGTTAGCTTCCTACTGCTGGTTTCACATTAAAAAGGGTGAAATGGAACATAATGATGAAATATCACTGTCCTCCTGTTAAATAATTCTAAATGTGCATAATACCTTTGACCACCTGTGACTGTAAACACATTTACTCACATAATGACGGATTGGCACAATCTCTGCATTATTACTGTTACTTTTTGGAGTTCTATCCAGATAATTGAGGTCTACCAAGGTCTGGAGCTTATTATCTGTATGGTACTGCCTGGTGCTTCAGGTGCCAAAGACTTAATTTGAAAAACTCAACACCCCATCTGAATAAACACACACAGGATTTTTGTGTTATTAGCCCTGGTGCTTTATGAGCAGACAGGAGTGGGTATACACAAATCTCCACTATCAGTCTTCCTTATATGGTTTTGTTTTGTTTTGTTTTTGGTATTTGAACGAACCCCTTATTAAAATATAAACCACAATCAATTCAAATCATTCAACCAACAGACCATCTGCGCACTTACTTTTGATACCATCGCAGTAAAATGTGAGACAAATGAGAGCAGATAAATGTTTTGGCAATTTATTTAGTTTTTCAGAATTTCTTTCAGTGTTGCCTCTGTGGGAAAAAGTGCAACTTTTCATGCCAAGTCTAACATCTCACAATGGTTTGAATTTCTTGTCAACGGTCAGCTTGATGTCATGTTTTATCTCTGAGTGTTGCTCCTTGTGTCTCTCTTGGCTATTTGTATCCGTCTTTCTTTTATTTCTCTACTGTTTTTGACGAAAAAAACACCGTCTGACTGGCTTTGCCCTTGAACGTGAGAGATTCACAGCTGTTTGCTCCTCCGTCTGTTATCCTGCCAGCAGAGTGATGCCCCTGAGGCACAGCTTTGATCTCTCTCTTTTTGCCGGCCGACTTCATTACACTCCAGCGACACCTGAGCAACAGGCATTAGACTCACATCCAGGAACTTTACTACAAGGACAAGAGGATACACTGGCTCTTTGTGTCACAGATTGTTGGTTCATGAGGTGCAAAACAATCAACACAAACAGATCAAAGAAAACTAAATGAAAAAATGTCTGTGCTGAAAGCCTGCCAGAGAAATTCTGAGAAAAGGCAGATGAAAGAAATTAGACGTTTTGCAGGGAAAAGAAAAATATTCATGCAAAAGTGATTAGGTTTGCACCTCTGATAAAACGCTGGGTGATCATGTTCAACAGACCAGCAAGACATCCGACTCCTGAGATATTGTAGTGAATAAGCATCTAATTCCCAACCATGTTGGAGGCTTGGACTAATCAATTTATGTCTTAACCCAGCTCCTCTTGGGTCAAGGTACGGTCAACCTTCAATGTTTCGTTTGATCTCAAAAAAAGGATCAATTTGTGCGCATTATTATTCATGCCTCTTAATCTCTGGGTAAATTTCATACCTAAATTCAACTAACAGAATTAATCTGACTGAAATTACATTAAACAACACGTGGTGTTTGTCTATATCAGTGCATGAAGTCTGGAAGGTCTGCTGGTTTAAAACAGAATCCCTCGAATGATGAGCTGACGCTCCTTTCACCATAGATTCAAACTCTGCTGATTGAATGCAAAAAGATGTGTCTTTCTTTAACATTCATAGAGACGCATGGGGACTGGTGCAAAATAAACACACATGATTAGTTTGAGAGGGATCATTAAAACTGCACGCACACGCTGTTAATGCAGTTTGATTGTCACTGCTGTTCAATCAACAATCAAATCAAAACCATCTTCAGCTATTACCTGACCCAGTGTGATATTTACTCCTGAAGTGTACATTCTTATTGCAGTCATACCTCCACAGTCATTAACTAAGAGCTTTGCTGGTTTCAGAATGAATTATTAATATTCACTGAAGTAACCCCACATTGGTTTATGTAAGTCTCTTTTGAGTTTCAGTCACACAATATCTTCAATAACACTAAAAGCTAAAAGACAAATCAAAACCAGGACCCACACTGGAACCTAAAGATGTAGTTCGTCTGGTTTTTGTTATTGAAGACAGGAAACAGGGCAGAAAACTCACAAGGTTCATAGCACAGACATGGAATTGGAGGATGGAATTGTACTTCAATCTTTTTGCATATTTTAAATTCTTTCAAGAAAACAAAGGCCTTCTTTCCAATCCTCTTTTTTAGAGGGGGGCCGGGACTTAGAGAGGCTTGCTGGTAATTCGTAGAAATGATGGCATGATCAGTGGTAAAAAGAAGCCACTTTCTCTTAAAGCACATCTTTGCATTTTGGCTGTGAGCCCGCTCTGTGCCGTTTTGAAAGATGCTACGTGGCATTTGGCCGAGATGTTAGAGGAGGGGAGAACGGAACAGTTAACAGAGTCTGAAACAGCGATGTTAATACCTCCAGTGTTTCTACCATACAAAATCAGGCTGCACGAGGCACACAGGCCAGGATATATAGACAGCGTACTAAAGTGATTGCACTGCATGTATTATGTATTTCTTTGTACTATCCAAAGAGTACTAACAGCAAGAAAGCACAGACTGCTGGGAAAAAGGAGTGAGCCACATAATTTTATCATAAAATAGTTCAAACAAGTATTTGTTCTTGTGCCATCACCAGATCGTGGAGAGGTGGGAGGTTAGGAAAAAACTGTGGTTTGGGATTTATATTAATACAGTAAACATGGCGTGTCTAGACCTGGTCACAGTCAACTTTCTCAACAGACCAGAATCTTCCCCTAACTTTAACCAAGTGCTGTGATTGCCTAAACATATCCATAAAAAGTGAATCAGGCTTCAGTTGCTGGATATATAGTGGATAACATTTCACAGATGGGTTTAGCGTCAACATCATAAAACGTATCTCGGACAGTATTACATTTTCCTTACTGTAAAACATATGTGCTGTTGCAAATTAGTAAACATAATAACAAGAAGACAGGGTTGACGTAATGCGTCTGTATGCTGGTAGAAGAGGACTGCCCCTCACTTGCTGCTCGAGTAGGCTGCATACTGGATACGATTCAGGAACAGAGAAGGAGGGGGGTCTGACATAATACTGTGAGTTTTGGCAAAGCTCACCCTGGGTTTTCTCCTGTCACTGGGATTGACTGCAGTAAGAGCCACTTACAGTGTGGCTGCTAGAGCAAAAGAGAGGACAAGCCAAGAGTCTCGCTGTTGGGGGGCTGTTGTTGAAGATATGTGAAATAAGGTATTTCAGTTCAGTGACGTCTTATTGGGAAAACGTCTGGCATGAGGCTTCTGACTGGATGAGCACATAAAATAAATATTCGACACACAAGGCCTTGAGTGTAAAGCGTGTGGTGCCACATTAGAGGGAAGAAGTCTATGTGAAACAAGAGACTATTATCTGACAATTTCTCCAAATACAAACAAACACTGGCGTGAAAAAGTGGCTGGCAATCAGAATAAGCAGGTGATCCATCTGGCCTTAAAGTGTAAAAGGTGAACTAATGTTCTCCATTGGAAAGTTTAAAGCCAGATGAAGTCACAGAGATGCCAATAAGTGAGCTCATCATAATTCCTATGTGCACATGACATGCCTCTGCTGGTCATAAACACACTCCATTCATATGACATTAAGCCTGATCGGATCGGATAAGCAAGAAGCACAAATAATCTTTTTTTTTCGGCAAACAATCTAATTTGGATTTTATATTAAAGAAAGAAACAAATGAAGACTGACGGGGGATTTCAACGTGAACGGAAGAATAATTCATTTTAATGTGCTAACAACTGTTTAGACATGTGTTTTTACCTTTACACCCACCTATAAATCTGTCGCACTGTTACAATATTTTTTGAAGAGAAATGTTGTAGTTTTTTCTATAATTTTGTTTAACACGTTGCAATATTCTGTGATTGCAAACCCCACTAACTGTTAGGAGAGCCGTTGCAGACCCCATTTCTTGCCAAGTCTTGTTGTGGTGCTGCAGTGTAAATTAATGTAAATCAAATTCCCTCAAGTGTGCCTCAAGAGAATATGACACCTCAAAGTAGATGTGAAAACACCTCTAGATGTGTGTGTGTGTGGAAATAAGAGAGAGTTTCTGCATATTCTCAGACATTCAAAGAGATTAAATCAAACTGCAGCAGGTCTAAATACTGGTCTAGATACTTAACTGGTGGAGTATTTTAACTGGAGTAACACAGCAGAACTGCAGCAGGTAACTCATTTATTATTTTATTATTATTATTTATAAATAATTCATTTATAAAAATACATATTTTAATATTCTTTAAAGCTTTTATGCCTGGCTGAGGTTGAAAAGTTGTTTTTTATCAAATAAAAATGTTTAAAGTGCAACGAAACAGCGAATCATGACGTAGGCTACATGAAGCACGTGACTTGTGTCTACGTAAACGTGAACTGAAGCTAGCAGAAAATATTAGGTCAATGTGGGAAGAAAATGAATACATAAAACATATTAACATATTTACAAAATTTTTTCCTACGTTTAATTCCCAACATTTTGGGTTTCACTGACCCTCTTTTAATTTAATGGCACCTGACTGAAGAACTAGCGCCACCTACTGTTTATCTACATGAACCAAGTCCCGATATTAGTGCAACAGGAAAGTCAACACGCTTAAATTCGCCTTTTCTGAAGACGATTTTATTTTTAAATTAGGTTCAAATGGGCTGTATTTTGAATGACAGCCTGTTTATTGTTGGTAACTGGATTTATTCAATCATTTAAAAGAAACAATATAAAGTAATAAAGGACTAAAGAGGGAAAAGTTTAGAGTGGTTTAACATGTCGCCCTGCTTTAGTAAAACACTAACAACCCGCTCATTGAGATAAAAGTAAATTTCTGTACTCACTCATCAAGATGACGATGGAGAGGCAAGTATTGTGGCTTTTTATATAATCCATGGCTTCCTTTCTTTCGGCAGATCCACAGAGAGTTGGTGCAGTTTTTTTGGCCCCTTTATTGGCCCCTTTAAGTCCTCATGAATACCTTCAGCACACCATTCAGTAAGCGGACACACACGCGCGCTCCTCCGGACAGTGTAGTTGTTTCTCCAAGTTGCGCACTGTTACTCATTCCGGTGATGCTGATGCTGCTGCTGCAGCTCCCAGTGACGACAGCCCCCCCTCTCTCTCTCCCTCCCT